GCGCTGCGCGGCCGGCCGGGGCGCCGGGGTGCTGGGAGTGGGGCGGGGGCAGGTGTAGCCTCTTTGCCTCATTGTCCCTTAGCGCCGCCCGGATATCGCGCGGGCCGCTCGCACCATGAAGATCTGGACTTCGGAGCATGTCTTTGACCATCTTGGGAAACTGTTACCACAGCTGCAATGCAGAAATACCCAAACCCTATGAACCCGAGTGTGGTTGGAGTTGATGTGTTGGACAGACATATAGATCCCTCTGGAAAGTTGCACAGCCATAGACTTCTCAGCACAGAGTGGGGACTGCCTTCCATTGTGAAGACTCTTATTGGTGCAGCAAGAACCAAAACATATGTGCAAGAACATTCTGTAGTTGATCCTGTAGAGAAAACATTGGAACTTAAATCTACTAATATTTCATTTACAAATATGGTTTCAGTAGATGAGAGACTTATCTACAAACCACATCCTCAGGACCCAGAAAAAACTATTTTGACTCAAGAAGCCATTATCACTGTGAAAGGAGTCAGCCTTAGCAGTTACCTTGAAGGACTGATGGCAAGTACCATATCTTCAAATGCTAATAAAGGCCGAGAAGCAATGGAATGGGTAATACATAAATTAAATGCCGAGATTGAAGAACTGACAGCTTCAGCAAGAGGAAGCATAAGGACTCCAATGGCGGCAGCAGCATTTGTAGAAAAATGATACTACAAGTTGGTAGACAACGTTGGGTCCCCCAGGTCTCTCCAAGCTGGCAATATATTTATTTGTTATTTAAAAAATACAACTATATTTTAGGTAGAATTTTTTTTAATAAGCTGATTTAAGACTAACTGACTTTTGATCAAAACAGAGATACAGGGCTTCTAAATAAAAGGGATCATCTGAAATTAATGTTGTTTGAAATGGCTGTCTAGTTTAAAGGTTTCAAGTATTTATATGAAAATTTAAGTTTTCTTAAAAGTACTTGGAAACTGGTATTGACATTGAATTTCCTTAAGGTAGAATTTTAAAACTTTTCATGCATTAGAACTCTACCTGGCTTTGGACCAACCCCAGAAGAAAGCAGAGCCACCTCTTACACAAGATTGCTCTGCTGCTGTAACTTCAACAGCTTGCATGAGAGAACTCACCTTAAAAGGAGAAATTATATACTTTTAAAAGATATTAATTTGTATAAAATAACTTGCTCTGCTATAAACCACCATTAAAAACCAGTGTTTTGGTTTTGTACTTAAATATTTTTGGAGTGAAAATTACCTCTAAAGTAATATATGACTCCAACAAAAATAAAATTTTATTGTATTAAAGAGTACTGTATTGATTTGCCAAAGTTTTGTGACTTAGTAGGTATTACCTTCCTTGGATTCATACTTTGTGATTTATTTAGTATGCTGTGCCGGGGGCTGGTTATGTTAACTGAAAAAATAAAGTCATTACCTGAGTTTTGCAGCACTCTAAACTTAAACAGAAGAACAGCTGTTCACATCTTTTAGCAATTCACATTTGCCTAACTTATAAATTGCCATGTGTCAAAATCATGGTTTTGTAATTGCTAAGGCATGATATGTCAGGTTATTTGAATATAATTACTTTTTGAAGTAATTGTGACCACAAAACATCTTTTTTACATGAAGAGCTGTACATCATTCAAAATTACTCAAGTGATGTCTTGATCTGAAGCATAAACCCCAGGTACTTAATGTTTTTAATAATACGGTGCCACTGTGAGAGGTGGGGGCGGTGAGGAAGAACAAAGAATAATTGGGGTGGGGGGAGGATTGGCCTAAACTAACCACTTAGTGAATTGCACTGCAGCTTTTATTTATGGGAAATGCTTATTTTGGATGCCAGAGGGCAGCTGCAAACTGAAAAACAATCCAGTAAATGTACTTTGTTTCATATTTTGTAGGAGGCAATGATCAACCACTAAGTAACGTCTTTGATATGTGCATTTGTTGCATACAGAGTATTTTTGTTAAAAGGTGATTAGCTCTTGCCTTTATTTTACAGTGCTTAGTGGGATAAACTAGTAAGATTTCCTATAAAAGAGACCAGTTAACATGTGCATAAACCACAGAAGTAGTATAACAAAACTGTTCTAAAATTACTGTTTTTCTACTTAAAATATTCAGCTTAAGGTTTCCTAGGACATTTGTAAAAACAGGTTAAATCCGATAAAGTTTGATATTTTTTTTGTAACCAGAGATGGTTTTTACAACTGAAATAACATTTCAGCAAAACAAAACATTCTAAATATTGATATTTGATAAAAGGTTGCCTTGTATAATTTCTGTAAATTATACTTGTTCTGGAAAAGGTGTAATGCCATAATGATAAAAGATTTTTAAGCAAATCGTAAAAAAGAAAATAGCAAGTGCAAAGCACCGAGGCAAGTCATACTTGAAACGTTCAAAGAACAGCAAGAATGTCAGTGTAGCTGGAATGAAGTGAATAAGGGGAAAACAGTAGGGAGTGAAGTCACATCTTGTAGGTGAAGATCAGAGAAAGAATTTTGGCTTTTCTTTTGAACAGGAAGAAAAGCATTGGAGTGTTTTGAGGAGAGGAGTAATGGGCTCTCACTTATGTTTTTTAAAAGATTACTCTGACTGCTGAAAGTATAGTAATTGGAGACAAGGACAGAAATAGGGAGACTGGTTAGAAGGCTGCTGCAATAATCCAAGAGAGATGATGAGGGCTTGGGTGAGGGCTGAGTGCAGCAATGTAAATGGCGAGATATGGTCAGATTCTGGATACATTTTAAAGATGGAGCCAACAGACTTTTGTGACAGATCAGATATGAGATGTGAGAGAAGAAAGGGAGTCAATGGTGATTTTAATGGCCTGAGCAGCTGGAAAGAGGGTGCCATTACTAAGATGGGAATTTCTGCTGGTAGAGCAGGCTTTATGGAGGAATCACAAGAGCTTAGTTTTGGACATGTTAAGTTTGAGAGGCCTAGTACACATCCATGTGGAGATGTCCTGTAGACAGTTGAATAGACTGGCCTGGAGTTTAGAAGAGAGGTCTTTTGAACTCTGAGCCTCTGTTTTCTTATCTGTAAAACAACTACATGTTTGTTTTAAGGAATAATGAAATAACATGGCATGCTTCTGGTATTATGCCTGGCAGACAGAATTATGGCCCCCAAAGATGTCCACATCCTAATCCCTAGAACCTGTGAATTGTTATGTTTCATTCAGAAGGGCCTTTGCAGATGTGTTTAAATTAAAGATCTAAAGATAGGAGATGATCCTGGGTTATTCAGGTGAGCCCAGGTTATCATAAGGGTCCTTCTAAGAGGGAGGCAAGAGGCCAGAAAGGAGAGAAGATGCTACCTTGCTGGCTTTGAAGATGAAAGAGGAGGTCACAAGCTAAGGAATGTAGGCAGCCTCTAGACGCTGGAAAAGATAAGGAAACAGATTCTCCCTTAAAACCTCCAGACGGAACACAGTTCTGCTCACCTATTCTGACATCTTAAACTGTAAGATAACAAGTGTTTGTTGTTTTAAGCCTCTAAGTTTGTGGTAATCTGTTACAGCAGCAATAGGATACTAATAAGTAGCTATTAATAATGATGATATTAAAAATCTTAGGTGCACTGGCTCACACTTGTAATCCCAACACTTTGGGAGGCCAAGGCAGGAGGATCACTTGAGGCCAGGAGTTTGAGGCTGCAGTGAGTGAGCGATCATCGTGCCACTACACTCCCACCTAGGTGACAGAGCAAGACTCTGTTCCAAACAAACAAATAAATAAATAAATTTATTTTAAAACATCTTGCCTTTTGGTTTGGAAAATTTTTTTTCTAAGAAAGGATGTTGAAGAAAAAGATTAAATTGCTGCTGAAGCTTGAAGATTCCCTACTGATGTGAATGAGGAAAAAACACCAACTTTGTAGGCACTGTGCCCACAGGAAATTAATAAGTAAATAGATTTAGATGGCTAACCTTTTCTAATCTCCTAAAATCCCTGAGAGAGGTAATTCTGGAAAGTAGACTGATTACACCACCAACACTCCTCCACAGTTTCCTTAAAATGCCATCTGAAAATGACTGAATCTTTAGCAGTAACCACAAAAGATATGCTTGAGCATATTACAGTTCATTCCCTGATATTCTCTGTCCAATCAGGTGAGAAGAACTCTAGTATCCTGCTTTCCTTTCCGCTTTTATTTTCTAGATCCCATCCTCCTTGTTCACAGAACATAGAAAACTTCTGCTATATTCTTACAGAGCTTGTCCCCATCCCTGATGAATTTCTTTATGTGCATTCACAGGACAGGGAAGCCTTCAAGCTCTAGACTTTGGTGGGATGCCTCTTACCGCCTAGACTACTGTAGGGGTTTCGGGGAGAGAGTTGGGATTACCACCTGTATCCTACCTGCCTTTTAGCCGTTGGTCCAAGTGGGTTTTCTTTACATTTGAACAAAATATTGAAGGTGAGTGTTAGTACTAGCACTTCAGGGCCCCCAGACAACAATAATAAATACTGGCAAATATTTTTCCATGATTGAAACAAATGACAAACAAAAAAACTTAAAACAACCTCAAACCTAAAACCTGTGAAAATATTCTATGACTTTGAAAAATTGAACCATAAATGTGAGTATGCTGAAACATTAAAGAAAACCAAAAATTTTAGAAAACTCACATTATTCTAAATTAGAAAAAATATTCTATTTATTAAATAAGAACACCCTGTTTAAAATTAAAACATTAGCCAAAATAATTTCCTTCTGAAGTGATAAAAAGAAGATGTGATATAATAGAAAACTGTCTCAACAACATAGAGGATAAATGGAGACTCATTTATAGAATTCAGAAGAATTAAACAAAAAGATAAAATATAAATGAAGACAACAGACCTGGAAAATATATTGATGTAACAGAGGTGTCTGCTATGGATAATTAGAGTCCCAATGCAAAAAATGAAAGCAATAATAAAAAGAAAAAATAGAAGAGATTCTTCAGATATGCAATAGAATCAGAGATTGTAGCAAGCGCTCAGTTTTCCTGGAAAAACCGATGAGGAGATAACAATGCCTTGATGTATTTTGGTAAAGATTTTTAACTTCTAGTAAATAGAATCTTGCAAGCTTCTAAGGATTAAAAACAAGCACGACAAAATGTTACTTTCAAAGGAATTAAAATCACTCCAGCCATAAATAAATGCTAAACATATGGAACATTCACACACTAGGATGCTATGTGGTCTTTATAATGATAATCTATACCAGAGGTTCTTAAAGTACAGTCCAGGGACTCGTGGGTGTGTCTAAAACCACCAGAGGGTCCATGGAGTCAGAATTACTTTCATAATAATAAGACATTACTTGCCTTTTTCATATTCTCTCATAAGTATACGGTGGAATTTTCCAGTCTGTGACATGCCATGTGATATCACAACAGAGTGAATGCAGAAGCAGATAGGAGAATCCTCCTGTCTTCTGTTAAGCCAGACATTAAATAAATTTGCAAAAATATAAAGCAATGGCACTCTTCTCACTAAATTTTCGAAATTCTGTAAATAGTTATTTTGCATAAAAATTTATGCTAACAATACACAGAGTGCAATGCGCACCACCCGAAGGATGGACATATTTGAAACTCGGACTTGGGGGGGAGGGGGGGCAAGGGCAACATACGTAACCTAAACGTCTGTACCCCCATAATATGCTGAAATAAAAAAAAAAGAAAAAAAAATTTATGCTAACAGTAATGAGTTTATTGTTATTTTAAGTTGAATTAATGTTTTTAAATTTCTCAGTTTTAATTTCTAATATAGTAAATATTGGTAAATATAACCTATATAAACAAAAGATTTTTGGTGTTCTCCATCATTTTTAAGAGTGCAAAGGGGTCCTAAGACTAAAAAGTTTGGGAATTGATA